AGCTATCATCACTTGTTACAGAAATGTTTCTCTGATTTTTCCCCTAAACGTCTTCCAGGCGTTTTATGTAACCATCCTTGAGTCTGACGCTTGCCTGTTGAAATTTGATGACAGTTGTGTACATAAAACTGCTAAATGCATTGCTCTTACTTTTATCCCATATCCTCACTTCCTTTCAGGAATGTCTCAAAATAAGTAGATTTAAATACAGTCTAAGAACTTTTTATTCCTCGTCCCTTTGTTTCTTTTTCACGAGCCTTGGAGGGTTTGCTGGGATAATGAGGATCATTATCTTGATGCAAGCGGTATATGCAGGTAGAATTTGATTATTGGTATATGACTCACATTATATTCTAGCACTCTCGCGGTGAGGGAGATTTCATACTGTAGTCAGTAACAATGAGAGATCGAGTGCCTAAAGCAGCAGAGAAAAGTTAACCATATTTGCACTGGATTTCGTCTGCACTAAATATATCCTTTTAGACATCACCATATTTAAACCAAGCATTCAGCTCATATATTTTCTAAAGGTTTTCTCTGTATAGAAGTTACAGCATATATGAGTTTGCTCTAATGTCCATTTCGTACATCGAAAGCTTATCATGCAGTTTAAATTCACGGAATGTGATACATGATCTGCTTTATACTGTACAATACCAACAAGTCGACAACTGCAAGGCATTCCTCCTGATCCTGGAATTAAACTTTTAGACTCTTTGGGACCTCTGTTTGCTTTTTCAGCAGCTAAACTGTCAATCCTGAGAAAACTGCCAGTTGACATTGGTGCTCTTCAGTCAGTCAGTGCCAATTGTCTTTCTGAAATGCATAACCCTACATTTTACCTCAAAATACTTCATGTAGAGCTGTCACAATGTAAAACTGTTTGAGCTGTGCTTGTTTTCCAACGTGTTTGGAGATGGATTCTTTTCCTAGACCTATACTCATTCTATAGGAAAAGTACATTTTTATTTGTTAATTATTGCTGCTTCAATTGTGTAGTGTAGTGAAATATTAAGACATTGTAATTAAACATGTAGAACTAGAATAAAAATTCTGACATGAGCAAACCTTTATAACATATGCTGCTAAACTATTTGATACAAGGCATCCTCCTCAGGAAGGGTGGCATAACCTGTTTAGTATGAACAAAGAATAACTGAAACTAAGCTTGGCCTTGCAAGGTATTCTTAAAAAAAGTAAAAGAGAACACAGGAAGGATGATTTTTACTCAAATTTCTAAGCATGAGTTTGTCTAACAGTATCTCCAATTTAACTCAATATAAGAGACAATTAATTCTCTGCATTAAGAAAATGTGATAAAGAGCATAGAAGATTCTCAAGACACATAATTTTTTTCTGCACTTGAAGGTAATAAATAATGCTACATTAAAAAAAGGAAATAAATAACAAGGAGGCCCCTAAAGCATGTTCAAAAATTAATGTCAGATTAGAAAAACAGCAGATACCAAAAATCTCCTTATTCAGTCCTCTTCTGGATGAGCTGTTTTTACTTTCAACACCCTGTCCTCCCGAAGCCTGCACCCTGACAACCCATAAGTATGACAACCAGTCAGAGTTTTTAAAGATAGTGGCTAGAATCGTGGGATAATAGATTGCATGAAAACTGTGGCTTGACTAATGGGCTTCTACAGACTGTTCTGGATAGCGTGTTTCCCTTAATGACATCATAAGAGGAATGCTGTTTATACATATCATATTGAGCACACATTAGCTAAGAGGTGGAGAAAGGCAATGATACTGTAGAGGGGAAAGAGCTGTTAGTATTTGTGAATCTGATACTCAAGTGTAAGGATAGAGCTCGCTGTTACAAAATGTTTACAATGTGAATATTGCATAAAAAGGATCTTCAAGTTTCTTTGAAAATAGTATGTTAGGTTTCTATTTTTTTATTTTTAGTCCCCCTTTTTAGTCTCCCTTATAAACTTTGCCTATACCAATAGAGCAACTCTTAGCTAATACTTATATAGGACTGCAGATATTTACAATCAAAAAATAAATAGTCCCTACAAACTTTATTAACTTTATATTTTTGCTTTTTATATTTAAATTTGTCATATTGTATTAATTTTCTCACATGATTTATTTTCAATATGGCTTTAATTTAGTATCGGCAGTGTGTAGAGTTGTGTTTAAATATAAACAATAGCCTAAAGCATTTTAAGTTTGGTCATTTTACAGCCTTTAATATTAAAAACAAACAGCCAGAATGCTGACACATATATTTTTTTCTTTTTTGTCAGTGGGAACCTGAAATAAAAAAAATAAAGGATTCAGTTCACTTAAGAAGAGACATTTCTCGTGCGGACCCAACAAGGAAACCAGAGTTTTTGTGTTTTATTGGCTGTCAGTTCGGAAAAGACAGAAAAAAAAAAAATCCTGACCAGAAAACTTGACATGTTGTCTGTGTGCCTTTTCTTTGCTTGGGCCACTGAAACAAAACATCTACTAAGACAGGTCTCAGCCCTTTGGTTTATGTGAAGTTTCAGGCTTTGTCATTGTACAACACGCTTTCAGATGTGGGATTAAGATTTTAGTTTTCTATAATATATATCAAAGTTAGAGTATTCGTTTAATAAAGATATTTATTTCTAGTGTTTGTCATCTTGAAAAGAAAAAACAAATAAATTGCTCTTGAAATATGGTTTATTTCTGTAATTTCTGTAAGAATACTGTAGCATCTATTATTCTCCAAATGTATGAACAATGTATAATAACATCCATGAAAATGTTAAAGAGGTAAGAATTTGCAAAATAGAAAATGATCTGTAACTGAGTTCCCAAAACAAACTTTACAGACAAGGACATAGTTGCATAGTTGACCAGTTGCAAGTAGTCTGTTTTGTGACAGGGCACAGATGTCAAGTCTTAAGTTAGAAACATAGAGGGTGTAGAAGTCATCCAAGAAAAAGATAGAAAAATGTCTCTAACCAAAGATCTCATTCCTAAATAAATCCTGCCTGAATTCTAAAATAGATTGCACAGTCGGAGCTAAACATTAGGGTCATGGGGATGAGGCCTTCTGATCTCACAGACCTAAAGCTCTTTGTTGAAGATAAGATTTAAAACACCAGTGAGACTATGGGAAAGGTGATCACCAACAATCAGAATGGCTTGCATACTGTAATAGTGGCAATATTTTTTTCCATTGAGAAACATATATTTTTTTCTATTAAAATATATAACAGAAATTCCTATCTGAGGTAATATGCTGGTGAAGGTTCTCAGTCATCCAGGTCGCAGTCATTTCAAAAAAATTTAAAGCAATCCACTGGACTTTGTTTCCAAGTTTGAAGATGTTTTGCTTGCCATCCAGGAAGCTTTTTCCATTCAAAATGTCAGAAATAGCGTTGAGTTTGAGGTTTTGTACAACAGCCCAACAAGGCCTCATTTTTGTTTTGAAAACATGCAAATTGGAACAGACGAAGGGGTCCACCCATTTGGAATGGGGGACGTTTGGCTTATTTTGTTATACTGCAATACCCCCCACAAGTGCCTGAAAGGTCGGTCGTTAAAGGGGATTGCTGGCCTGGCTGAATAGACGGGGTCCTCCACTTCCCTGTACAGGGGGTGGGCTGCGATGATAACGGGAAGGGATTAACTCAATAGCTTCATTGTAAGTTTTTGAAAGCTGAAACCTGAGTCCATCCCCTCTGTTTAAGATTGTTTTTTCTTTCTTAACATAGATGGTTTCCTTCACACCCCTCTCAAAGCACCTATTTTCTTTATCCAAAATGTGAACATTCTGGTCCTCAAAAGAATGTCCTTTATCCATAAGGTGTAGATGTGCCGCAGAGTCTTGTCCAGAGGAGGTCGCTCTTCTGTGTTGGGCCATTTGTGGAGAGGTTGTTTGATTTCTCCAATATAAAGATCAGAACATTCCTCACTGCACTGAACTGCATGCACCACTCCGCTCATATTTGGTCTTGGGGTTTTGTCCTTAGGATGCACTAGCCTGTGTCTAAGTGTCTTGTTAGGTTTGAAATGTACTGAAATGTACAAACTAGTTTTTGATGACTCGAGTTTTACAGAATTTTTTCACTTGTTTAAGATGATTACGATTAAAGCTACAACTAATTGAAGGTTCACTATATTTCCAGCACAGACTTAACCACTGTTGACCATCCTCGGGGCATCATCAGGAATGTCAGTGATTTTTATAATAAGTATTAGCCTTATTCATCAGTCTGGCTGTTAAGAAAACCTGTGGTGTTAAGATAAGTTCGAACCCATTGGTCCAAATAAATTTGTCTTTCATTAACTAAGTTCAAATCAGCTAAAAATTGGTGGCCTATCAAAGTGCAGACAGATCCTTTTAGGCATCGTAAATTACAATTAAAGAAAATAATGAAGTATTCATGTGGTTTTTGTAACAGGCTTACCATTTACCCTGACTTGTTTTTAACATCTTGAGATATGCCCTTCAATTTGAATAATATATTTACATTGCTTCTCTAAATTCAGAAACAAGTAGTCTAAAGTTCAGTTACAGTTTAATGAAGGATCTTACTTTGTTAATCACACTTCTAATCAAGTATTTTTGCTTTCTCTGGTCCAGAAAGATGCAGAGTTTTCTTTGAAGCAGTTGTAATCTGCACCCATCGCCCTGGGGTCAAAGTGTGGGGATGATTTGGGGTACTGAGCATGACTGTTTGGTTTGTTTTGAACCATGCTACCATGCGTACTATTCTTTGATGATTAGCCTGTGGCTCTGGTTCAGTGTCAAGACTGTTTTCGAGAAAGCTGGGATGTGGAAGCTGTGGAGATAAGGCTGTTGTTCAGATGGTTTGATAAAGCTGTGCAATAGATAAATGCTCTGCAGGAGTGGGGTTTTCAGGTCCAGTTGATTTATATGTTTGCTTTAAGTCACAGCATAAAACTCAATTTTTACCTCTATTCTTTTTCTTTTTCTTGCAATGAATATAAGTAACCTTTCTTTTTTTCTTGTTTTTCTTGTTTTTGTCTACCCATTTTTGCTGTAGCTCCTGCAGAGCCTTTGTTGTGCAAGTTTGCGGATGGAGGCCAGAAGAAGAGGCAGAGCCAGGTTAAATATCCCCAGAATGGTCGACCATGGACAAGAGAGGGAGAGGTGAGCTGAAGCTTGTTATACATTTTTAAAATGTGCTTGCCTTAAAAATTGAAGACAGGACCTTTTTCCCATTCAGGAGAGTCAAAAAAGCTGTAACACAAATGCTGCGTTTTGTCTTTTTAGGTCTAAACCTTCAGCTCCACAAAAATAAAGCATTCTTATTTCTTATGATAAAGATAAAATTTCACCAGTGCTTTCAAATGTTGAGTCGGTTTTAGGTGACACCTTTATCATAATTCGAAAAGCCACAGGGTTATTATTCAAACAATAATCTGTAAATCTCTGCGACCGACTAAATATTTCAGTATTGATGCAAACAAGATGGGATAAAAGACGGTCCTGGTTTGGTCAGTGCAGTTAAAACAAAGAAAAAATGGGAAGCCTCAAACAACAAAAACAGCTCAACAATGAAATAGACGGAGATGGTTGAAATACTTCATGCATAACTGTATTGTTTCGATATGCATATAATGGTTTTAAACCAGAAAAATGCAACCTTTCATATTTTAAAGGCAGCAAACGTCTAAACTCTGCAACAAAAATGTCATTTCTTCTGACCATGATTCTACTATATAAACACAATCGCTTACATATATTTTAGAATATGTTATGAAATAGTTTTCAACCTATAACAGTTTTTTTGTAAAGAATGTCATGGAGGTCTCTTCTTCTGGTAATTTGTCAGTAGACTCGTTAAAAAAAAAACACACAAAAAACTTTGAAAACCAATAAGGGGAATTCTAAAAGTAGCTCAATAAAACAATGGCTTCCTTGATTAGTTTATTGTTTCACTTATTTAAAAAGGGACCAGGTTAAGGAAGGTAGTAAATATGACATAGTAAAATATGACATAGTAAAATATTTTATATGATACTATATATATATATATATATTTATATATAGTATATATATATATAAATTAAAAACAAGTCAATTTTAACCGATTGCTTGGTGTCATTAGATTTCCCTAATTTTGACAGTTTTCTAACATATTCATTATCAGTTTTCTTCTTAGCTTTCTTATCTTCTTATAAAAAATTTTAACAGGGGACTGAAAGCAGATTGACTGCTGCACAAAGAGGGAGTTCAGATTTAGATCCTGAATGCTAGAGCTTTAATTTGGAGAACAACGGGGAAAAAGGTGTCAAATAATGTCCCCACCCACACACACAGTGCTGCACTGCACAGTGGTAGGAAAGAGCAGATTGGTGATGTGGAATAAAGTAACACCAGACTGCAAATTCATTTTGTATGTAGACTTAAACTTGTCCATTAATATATGAGAGCAAATTGATGGATGAGGATGTTGCATTTGCTTATATTGAATGTTTTTGGGTTTTTTTTGGTAGAGTTTAATATCCTTTTCTTCTTTCACTCATTATGTGGAAGTGAAATTTATGTGTGTTCGCTAACAAAATCTCATGCATATTTTTTTAGCTTTCCAATACGGAAAAAAGCTTGCTTAGCCCTGAAGCTTCTTGTTAGCTGTTTAGCCATTTCTGGTTAAAGAGTCCAGAGTGACTAATAAATATATCTCACACTGGGGATGCTTGAGGTGCTGCACCATCATGCTCAGCTGAGGGAGACTTGTCTCCTTGAACCCATGCTGATCTGGAAAAGATTATGGCCTTGAGACAAGGATAAAAGAACATTTTATAGACACATGCAATCACTTACTTCTGTCAAAAGAACCACACATTCGGAACAGACGAAACATTCTCTGATTTTGCTGTAGGTGAGAGGAGGGAAAGTATAATGCAGTTGTGAGGGAGTGATACCTGGTTTGTTGCAAAAGTCAAATTTATAGCCTTTAATATCTTTTTTCTGTAAAGCAATCTTTTTGGACATGTTACATGATTCGATGTTTGCTATTAAGGCAGTGTAAGGACACTTTAGTGACAAATTTTGCAATTAAATTATCAACAATATGGTTGTTGATCCTTTTTTTTTTTTTATTACTATTATTTTATCTTGCTAGTCCCTGCATCTTTATGTTGAACATTTTATGCTCCACACATTTATAGTTCAACTACAATGCTGAATCTTGTATTCCTGACTGATAAATGGGAATCTTTGATATTCAAGATAAAAAAAAAAAAAGAATAAAAAATAGTGTTTTTGTTGCACTTGGCCAGTACGTGTTTTTTTTTTTACTTTTCTCAAAGCATTTTTTATTGACACATTATCAATTAATTGTAATTAAGATGTTTGTGTCATAAAAAGAACACTTACCATTGGAAAATTAGCCTATAATTTTAACAGACAAAAATAAAGCTTGGATCAAAGAAGTAGGAAAGAGACCATGACAATTTTAGTGGATCAACAGCTCAGATACTAGTACATGTGCTTTCTACAAATCCTGCCTTCAGTGGTTAGAAATAAAGCCTCTGTTAAAACAAAACCATAAGAACTGCTATTTGCAGTTCACCAAAAGCCTCTCAGTGGATAAAGAAAACATGATCTTATTATATTGGACAGCAGAGCTGATAGGAATTAATTGAAAGAAGGGTCAAGCAAAATCCTGGACAGTTTTGGAATAAAACCTGTTTAAAGTTGCAATAGACTTGAGACTGGGGGAAGTGGTTTATCTTTAAGCAGGTAAATTACGCAAGAAATCCAGCCAAATATTCTCATGTAGCAGAATTGTTCAGCCAAAGTCCAGACCTGACTTCAGTTTAGGATAAATATAAGGTATTATAATTAATGTTGAGGAACTATCCATCCAGCCTAACTTAGCTTTTACAAGACAAAATCCCAATCCCTAGATGTGCAAAGCTGACAGAAATGCAGCCAATATTGTCCCAAATTTGGGTTCTACAAATTTTTGATCCATTATCCTAATTGCAGTTTTTAAAAAATTAAGGGACATAATATACATAATTAATTTTGCAAAGCACTGTAATCCCTTTGTGCTCTAAATGTTGTTTTCTCGCTCTGCTGTATCACACATTGATTAGTAATTTCTAACTGCAAAGTAAAAATGAATTTTATATTTAATATAAATTTTCTTACAATTTGTTTATTTGAAGCTACTGCTAAATATGTTGATGCCCTTACTGGACCAAATTTGATTTTTTTTTTGGTTTTCCTTTCTGCACCTCCTGTTTGTTAGAAGGATACATAGAGCAGCTATTTGTTATATAAAACAGCCTTTCTGGAGCAGGTATCTGTTCAGAAGGGTATTTATGTACACCTATCAGTTACAGAGCAATCTGTGTTATTTTTGGCTGTGGTCTTAATGCTTCCCTACAAATAACAAAGTCCATTACAATAAAAATGTAAAAATATGCATTTGAAATCTGCATTTCTTTTTAATCGAGATTTTTAGAATAACCTTATGTGCCTCTCTTGTCAATTTAATTTAAAGAAAGAACACATTAGTATGTTTTCTCAACATCTATTTCTGTTTGTTTTTTCCTACAGAGTGGTATGGCGTTAACCTACGACCCAACGGCAATGCAGAATGGGTAGGTTGCGTGTTTTCTTCTTTAATTACATTGCACATTTAGTATTTATAACAAGACATTTGTGATCTTTACCTTTAAGTTTAATGTTCTGCAAAATATACTTTGGTTAAAACGAACTATCACTGTCAGTGATTTTTTTTTATGCTGAAGTGTCAAGCTCATTAAACAGCTTCACAGCTGTACAAAATGTGTCAGTTGAATATTAAAAGTGATATGCAGAAGCACTTGAAGGTATGTCTCCATGTTTATGTACTCACACTGAAGAACAGTTTGGCAAGACACACATTTCTTGTCAATCTGGCTCTGACTCTTGCAGATGGAGCATTTATTTATGCACCTTTGCATACCAGCTGTCAGACATGTTAGTTCTAATTGCAGATTGTGATATTGGGCGGTGTTGCAGTCTTGCTGCAAGACTTTCGTCACCTTAGCTATCTGCAGAAATGGGTTGAACTCAGAGAGCAGGGTGTGTAGAGTTTGAGAAGGAAATTGGAGATTGGTCATGTCTGCTAGGAAGGCATCTGGTGAACTGTTCTCAGGAGATGCTTGCTTCCAGCTCTATGTTCCCTTTCTTTTCCTGTCTGCTCCATCAGCTGTCCTTTTCTTTCATTAATAATTTCCTCAACTACACAACTATATCAGCCTTTTGCTGGTCTTTGCATTTTTGTCCCATATTAAATATTAGTCCCCGTTCTGCCCACTCAGCCTTATGCTCCAGGGTTAAAAGAATAATTTTTGGCATTTGACATATCAACAATGTTTTAACTCATACTGTCTTCTATTCATTCTTGCTTTCTGTGTTCAAACAGCTGCTTTAATTGTAGTATATGCAAGCATTAAACCATGCTCATCCACAAGCATCTTTGCACTTAGGGCTGTTTAAGCCCTCTCTGACCTCTCTTCTGAGGTCATCCAAGCTTCTTCCGGCAAAGCACTAAACGACTGTGAAATGCTAATGTAGCTAATTAGAGAGGCAAAATGTTGGGAGGGAAGGATTTTGAATAAAAATGGAGGGATGAACAGGGTTAGGAGGAGGGCAAAGGCAATGAATGAAAGTCAGCCCAAGGATAGAGGAAGGGTATGAATAGATTACAGGTTTGTCAGTCACTCTGAATTCAGCTGGTTTTAAGGACATAAAGCCATTATTTGTATGGATTACAAGAGATATATCAGCCAAATTGTTTTTTTTCTGGAGTTTTCCCCTTTTTTAACCAAAAATGAATCAAACACTATAGGTATAGACTAACCCTTGGACCCAGAAGGTGTCATCCTTTTTCCATGAGGAACATAACGTTAGACCTAAAAGACCTGACTCTCATCCTCGGTTATACACATTTTTGTTGGAACCACTCCAGTTAACTCTTAATAAAAAAAGAAAAAAAGAAAAGTTAAGACTCTAAATTTTCCCAATCAGACATCCCTCTCTGTCCAGTCCATCAATTTCACAAACAGGATTGGGGGTAGGATTATAGTAGTCAAGACATCTGACACAGCTCTTGCTTTGGTTGTACAAGAAACATTGATCCATTAAAAGTACTTCCATATCCCCATGTCACAGCATAAATTTTCATAAACTACTTTGACATTGAGGACAGACTCATAAGTAATCTCTCTTCAGTTGTGATGTTCAAGTACCCTGCAAGTTCATACTCATGTTGAAGGACTGACATTTGTTCTGACCCTCACCTGTTGTCCTGATATACAGTTTGTAATAAAAAGAACAAGATTTCAAGTGAAAAAATCTGAAATGAGCTTCATACTTTGAGTAGCCAGACTCAGGGTTAAGGAGAGAATGAGGCAATTCACCCAGGAGGAGTTTGCAGAAGATGCTAGGTGTCATTATTGGTGGTTTAGTCATCCCATTGGAATGCCTACACATATAAAAGTTTGGTTTCAAGTCCCTCTCAGAGGGGGAAATGAAACAGCTAGCGAATAGACTAGGGACTGGGAACTCCCAAAATGATGAAGAGGGTATCCTTGGTTTCCATATTTGTAACCTCTGCACTCTCCTAAAACTCGCAGACAATGAATGATTACATTTGACTGTATATTGTCTGTTTTTTTTTTTCTTAAGTCATTAAACCATTGAGTATCTCTGCAGGCCTTTGTTAACACCCCGTCATGATATTCCATATTGATTTAGCCCACATGCAGAACACACTCAGGAGTCAGGTGAAAAGTTTAAAAGTTTATTTACAAAAGATGAAGAATGATCAGGAAATCCAGGAAATGGACACTTGGCTTAAGGCGACATTTTGGATCTGGAGAAAGCTGAATAGTTTGGGCTGTGGTTGAAGAGAATGTTTGCTTTGATAAAGATCAGTCTTACAGTTCTCGAAGAAGCAATCTGCTTGGGGGTGTTCCACAGTGAACAAAGCGGTTGGTTTGATCCAAAATTCTGAGCATGGAAACACTTGGAAACAAAGTCCAGTGGATTGTTTTTTTTTTTTTACTTTTTTTGGGTGGAGGGCAAGCAGAGCACGATAACAGAATAGATTCAAACACATTCAGCTTAGGCTTTAACCGGAGGATGTTGCAGGTTATCTCTGAGGTAGGAACTGAGCTGAATAGAGTTTCAGGAACTTGGTAACCGAGAGACAAAAGCACAGGGTCAAACGAGCTCTAGGAAGCATACAGAGGCAGATTAGCTAGAGACTGCCAGCAATGGTTAAACCTCTGGCAAAGAGGTGCTGGCTGGAAAGCTTCTTATACTTCTGTGTTGAAGAACATCTGTAGCTGCCGATGCGACGGTGCCTGCTTATGGCTCCTGCTGGATGACGGGAGGCACCGCAGGACCAGGCTGGAGATAAAATTTTAGACCCAAACACTAACAATTTCCTTTGTAGAAAAGTCACTACGGTCCTTATCACGAAATGTATCACTACTCACAAATTTCTCAAAACTCCAAATTCCCAACTATATACTCAGATCATTCCAGATGTGTGGTCCTTTTATTCTGCTTACCATTACATGCTAGGTTATTGCAATATTTAAGTGGCTATGCTGGAGTCCCCATTGACAGTTTGCTGCTCAAAGCTAATAGCCTCTATCAATAACCTTGGATCTGTCCTCTGCCTACTACTTCCTATTCTCAATACCCATCAGTCTGATGAAAATACAATAAATACAATCAGGGAGCTATATTGAATAACCCAGTCGCTGTTCCTCATTTGTATTCATCAGTGACAGTAATGCAGTATCTGTAATACAAGCCATATATTAATTATGGCCTAAAAGATGAATCCATGTCAGGGCTTTATCAGTACTGGAGTTTGTTTTCTTATCATCAATACCTCTGCAAACAAGTTTCCTGCTTCAGGTCCATCTTGGTTAAATCTGCGTTTACTGAGAAATGTCAATATGGAAGGTCTGAAAGCAAATGTACACTGCCTTAATTGCTGCAATTTTATAATGTACTTTATATTTTCAAGTTTCTCCAAAACATTTAAACTCTCAATCATACCTGACACTGGTTTTGGAAAACCTCCATTTGATAATGTACAATACACAAAGCAACTTTAAGTTTTATTTTTATTTTTTTTATTGATAACTAGAAAAACTGATATAAATCAAATGTTCTTTTTAAGTCTTTGTGACAATCATTTGCAGACTTTTGCCTTCTGAAACCATCAGCAAACAGAACAACTGTTTCAACTCATATGAAAATTTGCCAGACTTTCAGTGCCATCTTCATCCATTGTTCTTTCAGAATTTTTGACCGTGAAATGCAGTCCAGCCCTTTTGAAATCAATTGAATGACTCACATCTAGGTTTTTTCGTTTTAGTGTTTTTTGTTTGTTTGTTTAGCTGAAAGTTAACATATTTTATTGATATATAACTTTTTTTTTTCAGAATCCTGTTTCAGAATTTGTATTATTTTTTAAATAAGATTAATCAATGTAAGCCTTGAGGCAAACTTTTTGATTGTGCTTTTTCTGACATCAATGATAAACTGTAGACTTCAAACGTTCCCAATTCCTCCATTTGAGAACAGTTCCCTACATTATTCAAGTTGTCACTCAAGACTTTTTTCCAAGTTTTTTCTTTTAGCCATGATAAACGTTTCCTCTTTGCATTTATCTTACACAAACAACAATACTTTTCTCCATATTGTGTCAGATAGAAAATAGCCCTCATCCTTTTCTGTACCCCTTTCATTGGATCTTTTCTGACGACACAAAACAAACCCAGAAAACATTTCTCAGAATATACAAAACCACTAAATATTCTGTACGTTTATGCGGACAGTGCCGTCTTGTCATCACAAGTCCAGAACAGTTTATCCTGCCTGAGGAAATTAGGAATAAATGGTACGAGGGAGAATTTCTGCAGATTCCACTATATGTAGTCTAGGTGGAAGTGAATAAACTGATTACTCGCCTTCATTCGCCTATGACTAGGGGTGGGTATTGCCAAAGAAGTCACGATTCGATTCGAATCACGATTCACAGGCCACGATGCGATTCTATCACGATGCATCACGATACTTGAATTATTGCGATGCATTGCAATATTTTATCCTCCATGTTTTGTTTTTGAATGACTCGGCACAGTATCCCGCAGCCGGAAATGCTTGTGACACAAGGCAGCGTGCGTCAACACATTTGCAGCGACATCTACTGGACTGGAAGTTGTATTACACTTGTTTTTGGCTAATGTTCACCAACCATTCATGCAATTTTATTTATTCATTTTTTTAAATTAATAATCGATTCTTGGCATCAAGAATCGATGCAGTAGATCACGAAAATTAGAATCACGATGCATCATCATCACTATTATTTTGCACACCCCTACCTATGACCCAGCCAATCAGCTTTGGACCACGCCTCCTCGAAAGCCAATCAGCATCCAAAGTTTTTTTTAAAAGGCCTCCGATCCGCAACTCGTCTTCTACTCTTTCTACTGATTGTCTTTTCTCTCCGTGTGAGTTTTTCAGATTGAAATCAAAATCCAGAATATCCTGCAATATACAATAGAGGCCGACTCTGGTTCTATAGCAAAGGGTCCCCAAGTCCAGCTCCTAAGAGCTACAGCACCACCCTAGAACTAGATGCCTCTCTTGAGTGGCTCTTTACCAGATGGAGAAGAGATGCATCTAAAGGTTGTAGGGTGGTAACTCTCCAGAACCGGACTGGGGAATACCTGTTATGGAGTCTCTCTTTTTAGATGAAAACCAAAACATTATTTCTGCTTAATCCCCACACCCTTGGAGATTGTCTGAATGTCGTGTATGAATGTATTCATTTTTTTTACTCAAGCCAAATAATAAAGGCAGCCATGGAGATTATGACATGTGTTTTTTATTTATTTATTATTTTAAATCAGAAAGTTAAAAACCATTTACATGTATTTATAAGTGACAGTGCCAGAGACACATAGAGGAGAGTTTCTCCTTTTGTCTCTAAATCTCTCTTGCCTTCCCTACCTTGCACCATTATTCAACCAACAGACACCTTAGGATCGATCGGGCACAGCAACATGGGCTGGCGGATGAAACATGTCCTCTCTAGAAACACAATGATAAATAAAGCACTGTGAGCCACAGCATTGTACAGCTGCAGGGTTATGAGGGTAAAATAAAGCAAGCAAAGAGGAAAAGAACATATTCAGAAGGGCAGATAAAGGTGTAGGTTGAAGAATAAACAGAGTGTAAAAAGCTGATGTTACACATACGGCTCATCCTCCGTTTGTGTAGGTGGAAACATAAAGGGCAATATTGAAAGATTTCACCCACCAACGCATTAGGGGGGTAATTCATTATCATGCATGGCAAAAGAACCGTCTCCTTTGTAGAATGATGTGCTCTCAAATGCAGTGTCAAGTTTCATTCTAAGATGACTTTGATGGTTTGACTCAGAATGAAGCTGCAATATTTACTGTTTCCATGATTTCTTTGATGATGTCTGATTCATTTTGTCAGAGTTGACTTAAAATGCACTGGGTAGATGAAAACAAAGTGGAGCTTTCTTTCACCTTTGCACGAGGCTATGCAAAGTTTGTAGAACAAGGACCGATCGTGCAAATACGATGCAGAGATAAAAAAGACCTTTGACACATACTTGTTATTAATATTTATTACAATTTTGTTTTTGTGCTTCTTAGATTCTACCCTTCACCCTATAGCATCTCGACCAATCGGATGATTGCACAAACATCAATCACGCCCTTCATTGCTGCTTCCCCTGTCTCCACATATCAGGTGGGTTGACCCTCCCGGGTCTTGCTATAGTAAATTTAGGATTTTTAAGGGAAAACATAAGAAATCTGCATTTTTACAGTTTTACTATTTAGTTTTTATTGAAATAGTATAAAAAATAAAAATCTAATCATATAAATCCTGTTTTACAGCATAGACTTCCATAGTCTCCATTGATTTCACACTGTTCTCTTTAGGTTAACTCTTCTTCTGCCTTATACTGTATGCATACAATTAAATTATTATTCATTGTTGCTGGTGCTTCACATCAGATTTTTAAACCTAGTGATTGATTATTGCAAGAAAATGGAAAGCTATAGTAGAGTTATGGAGTCTAGCAGATGTATTCCTACGTCATAAAGCTATTTTCATATTACATTTATGTTTAAATGCAACATGTCACACATTGAGTAGTGAATGTTGATCAAGTTTAAGTCAGCTCATTTATATATTCACATGTTGTCTCAAGGTATTTTACAGAGACAATACAGCCAGATTCGTTAGAAAAGCCAATTGATTGCATCCAGCCAGTGACTTGCAGGACATGCTTCTTCCTGGATGAGCTTGCGGCAACAATTTTTGCTTGTATTTTGAGGTTGACTCTTCAGTAATCCCTCAAACCAACCATGCACATAGCGACAGTGGAGAGGAAAAACCTTTTAACAGGAAGAAACCTCCAGCAGAACCAGACTCAGTGTGAGCAACCATCTGCCAAGGATGACTGGGGTTAAGGGAGACAGAAACAGACATACAGAAAGAAGCAGAGATTTTAATAACAGTTACTGTTAACTAGCCTCACAGTAACAAAGTAGTTTTGAAAAGTGTGGCATGCATTTTTATTAAACCAATTTTACTGTAAAGTACAAACATAATCAAGTGCCTTCAGAATTCACCAATTTAGTGAGTAGAGTTCATCTTTGTGCATTTCAATCTTAATAATTATACAGCTGTTTTGTTTAGGCGTTATTGGCTTGCAAGAGAACCTTAATCAAAATAGCATAAATCAGACAATAGAACACAGGACAGGTCAGTTATGGATCATTTTAAAACAGAGTCAGGTGAATCATTCACAAAAAAATTAATAAATGAAAGAATGGAAAAAAGGAAAGCCATGTGTTGCAAGATATGCTCTAATTTGTTCTATATTTCTATTTCAGTGTTTTGAAACTGCTCTTTTATACGTACTCACATCAAACCATCTGTGATTCTTCACAAACTTGAGCAGTTTCTTGTTTAACAGTTTATCAAACAGGTTTCTGTGCGGACAGCCTCCTCTCACCTAGATTTGAAAAAAAAAACAACAACAAAAAAAACAAAGGAAAAAGGCAAAGGCCGACATTCAGCAGAGCAAAAATTCCTGCTTCCTTAAGCAAACCTAGAAGGAAACCTGCGTACGTAACACAGCTTTACCTCCTCACAGACCCACACATACTGTTGACAGGCCAACATGAACATTTGCATTATATTCCTAAAGTTATAAACTGTACTGTATCTTACATGTGGCAGAGTTGCCTTTAGGGGCTGTTGGAAACAGAAGAAGATGAAAGTAGTGATATGTGACCAAGAGAGCTTTGATGATGTAACCCTCACTGTGAAGCAGTAACTGTTGGATAGTTTTGTTCTCTGTGGTCTTTCAAACTTGTCATAATTACAGCTTAACTTAAAGTACAGCAAACCCTCTGTTTCCGCCGTGTTCTGCCACAGGGACTAATGATTAAATCTTTCATTCTTTTGTTTTCTCATCTAAATTAATTTCCTTTTATTTTGGATTTAGAAGCTGTTTACTAAAATCTTCTTCCTTCATATTTCTTGGTTGTCATTCTGCATCATCCTATTGCTCATCCTCTCCCTAATTATTCACTTTAATTTTGGTCATGTCTTTTCTTTTCTCCTACTTCCCATCCTTACAAATTCCAAGTCCGTTATCTGATATAATTGTTGTCTCCTCCGGCTTTCTCTTCTCCATTTCTTTTCTCTGCGTAGGTCCAGAGTACATCATGGATGCCACATCAACAATATGTTATGCAACCTACAGTAAGTCCTCAGAGGCATACTTTTTCTTTTGATTTTTCATCATTTGATATCAAGTCATTTTCTGCATTCAGTTGCCGCTTGCACTGATGTTTTATTTTATGTCTGTCTTACATTTCATTATTATCAGGGTTGAAAACATGAGCATTTACTTTTCAAATTCAGCACTAGTAAAAGATAATCTTTCTTAGTGTACTCTAAGATTGAGGTTCATCTTTATTTAGCATTTCTTTAGAATTTAGAAATTAAAATTACACTTATGACAATTATTCACTGTCCGAAGAAAACAACTGATGCTAGAAAGATTTAATTAACTGTAGGATCTAGAAACTAACTCATATTAAGTCTTTTTTTTTCATCTTTACATTTCACCCCCCTTCTGCTTTTTCAGTGTCTCTGTTATGTGCTTCCTTCAAGCAGATGGAAGCTCAGCAGAGCTGCTTCTTAAATCAATTATAAAACATTGCTCCCTGCTGGTTTGAAAGGGAATTGCACATACTGATTTGCACAAATACTTTAAATCCTGTGTCTATATACATTTTTCTGTGAGAAATATGAGAGATATTGCTTTCCCTAAAAACAAAAATACTAAAGAAAGTTGTTGCAAAACCCACCCACACTTGCTATAGATTTACACAAACACTCATATATTGACACTGAGAGTAGGCGTATAGTCAATAAACACTATAGACTACTGGTTTCCTCTTCTGCTCTAAAACTAATCATTTACACAATATCCTGATACAAACTCTGAGCTTTGTTTCTTTTGGCTATCCAGGGACTGGAAACAACTAGTTAGAAACAACTGATCCCTCAAAGGCTTCTCTCTAAGCACAGCATAAAGTCTGAGCCAAAGTCTGTCCTGTAATATATTTCTACAGCAGCATAGGGAATAAAAAATCTGTACCCTTGTTGACTCAAGCAGCAGAGTCCAGTATTTAATTAGAGGGAGAAGGAAGGCACAGTGTTGTCCTGCCTGTACTCGTCTCACAAGCTGATTACTGTTCAGTGCAGCGGGGCCAATGGATTACAAAATCATTGGAAGAATAGATTCACATTGCAGTAACCTTGGAGGCCTCAGATGGAAAAAAAAAAAAAAAACTCAAAGGTAAAAGTGAAGAAAATAGGATGCAGAAGGAGAAAGAGAGTCTGGAAAAATTAAAACTTATTTGTGGAAATAAATCTTTTATTTAGGTATAAATATTTTATTTTTTTTGTTTTTTTCATTATAACAATTTAAGCACACTGTTGGCTTTGGTAAGCAGTGCAACGGTTCTTGATGCATTGCAGGACAGATTTCCTCTAAAAAGTGTGGAAAGGTTAAAAGATCACTAAATCTAGAAATTAGGGAAAAAATATTTACATGAACGGCACAGTTAAAGAGAAATTTCCTTAATCTTGTGTAAACAATTCTGTCCTGATTTCAACAGCTGTTTAATCCTCTGTTAAAGATCTTGGTATCTGTCTGTCCACAGTTTGGGAGAAACTGGACTGACCAAACCTGTTTTGAACTTAAGGACACCCTCTGACCAAGGCTACAGTAGATTGTCTCTCTGTGACCTCAGCACAAATACTGTCAGAAAAACTATTTAAAGTGGTTGAAGCTTCTTCATTGCTTATTTAGTGCAACTTCTTTGTGGAATGAGTATTAATGAATATGATCACTTTTAATCCATATCTGCCAGGGTTCAGACATTTCTTAGCTGTGCTTTTCACTTTAACATTGGATTTCCGGTCATAGATACTCTGTAATGTCCAGCCTAAAGCAACTCACTATCTATCAATTTCAATTCAGTAAATTATATTCAGATTGAAATATATATATATATATATATATATACACTATATTGCCAAAAGTATTTGCTCACCCATCCAAATTATTGGAATCAGGTGTTCCAATCACTTCCATGGCCACAGGTGTATAAATTCAAGCACCTAGGCATGCAGACTGTTTTTACAAACATTTGTGAAAGAATGGGTCGCTCTCAGGAGCTCAGTGAATTCCAGCGTGGAACTGTGATAGGATGCCACCTGTGCAACAAATCCAGTCGTGAAATTTCCTCGCTCCTAAATATTCCACAGTCAACTGTCAGCTGTATTATAAGAAAATGGAAGTGTTTGGGAACGACAGCAACTCAGCCACGAAGAGGTAGGCCACGTAAACTGACGGAGCGGGGTCAGCGGATGCTGACGTGCATAGTGCGAAGAGGTCGCCAACTTTCTGCAGAGTCAATCACTACAGACCTCCAAACTTCATGTGGCCTTCAGATTAGCTCAAGAACAGTGCGCAGAGAGCTTCATGGAATGGGTTTCCATGGTCGAGCAGCTGCATCCAAGCCATACATCACCAAGTGCAATGCAAAGCGTCGGATGCGGTGGTGTAAAGCACGCCGCCACTGGACTCTAGAGCAGTGGAGACGCGTTCTCTGGAGTGACGAATCGCGCTTCTCCATCTGGCAATCTGATGGACGGGTCTGGGTTTGGCGGTTGCCAGGAGAACGGTACTTGTCTGACTGCATTGTGCCAAGTGTAAAGTTTGGTGGAGGGGGGATTATGGTGTGAGGTTGTTTTTCAGGAGCTGGGCTTGGCCCCTTAGTTCCAGTGAAAGGAACTCTGAATGCTTCAGCATACCAAGACATTTTGGACAATTCCATGCTCCCAACTTTGTGGGAACAGTTTGGAGCTGGCCCCTTCCTCTTCCAACATGACTGTGCACCAGTGCACAAAGCAAGGTCCATAAAGACATGGATGACAGAGTCTGGTGTGGATGAACTTGACTGGCCTGCACAGAGTCCTGACCTCAACCCGATAGAACACCTTTGGGATGAATTAGAGCGGAGACTGAGAGCCAGGCCTTCTCGTCCAACATCAGTGTGCGACCTCACAAATGCGCTTCTGGAAGAATGGTCAAAAATTCCCATAAACACACTCCTAAACCTTGTGGACAGCCTTCCCAGAAGAGTTGAAGCTGTTCTAGCTGCAAAGGGTGGACCGACGTCATATTGAACCCTATGGATTAGGAACGGGATGTCACTTAAGCTCATATGTGAGTCAAGGCAGGTGAGCAAATACTTTTGGCAATATAGTGTATATATATATTATTAATTGGACGAATCAACATTTTTTACACAGAAATAATGCCCTGCGGCAGACTGGCGACCTGTCCAGGGTGTACCCTGCCTCTCATCCATAAACCAGATGGATAGAACACAGAAATATTCACTTATTTAAAAAAAAATGTATTTCCTGCTTAAAGTTTATTTTCAATAGCTTCATTCTTACAGAATAGACTCTGAAACATATTGTAATTCACAAACATGACTTGAATCTGTTCACAATAACTTTAATATTTAGCTGCTCTGTTTTTGAATCGGTAACCATGTGGTGGAGATTTAATGTTTTGTTGGCCTTTTAAACAGTCTAAATATGCTAGGACTTCTATTGCTCCATTCCTGTTGTCCCAGTTTCCTAGCTCTCTTTTGCTTCTTATCTATTTTGCACATCTAAAAAACATTCTGCTCTTATGCTAGATCAAAATTCTGTCCATGCAAAAGGATAATACCCATCTGTAAGTCAACTTTCAAAACACATGTCCCTTCTTATTATTTGGCAGGCTGCTTGATATGACAGCTTAAAACTTGCAAGAAGAGAGACAGAAATAACAGAAAGAAGAGGGCGAGGGCTTGTAGAGGTAGAAAAAAAATACCAAAAGCGGTGGATGTCACAGTGTAAAGAAAAGAGAAACAGGCTCAGAGAAAGAAGAGGGAAGGAAGGGATTACAAGGAATAAATCACAGCAAAGAAAAGAAAACAACTTCTGCAAAAGAATGTCTGAGCTGTGTGCTTTCAGTTCCAAAACCCTGCCTCTGCATACTCAAAATCCCTATGAGAGTACATGGGGGAAGGCTAGTCATTGTATTTCCTGGATCTAACGCTAGACAAGTTAAACCTGCATCAGGGAGCAAGACGGGGAAAAGAGACAGCAGCTCCTATGGTAGCAAACAATTTCTCTCTGCTGCACCACAGTTTATAACGGCTAACTTTGATAAATGATGCTTGCCACTTGACACATTTAGGCTGACATATTTATGCAGGCTTCCACTTTGCCATAAACACTCTAATATATAGTTGGTGTTCTTGCAGTTTCATTGCATGAAATCTGTAGATTCTATCTCTGCCAAATGTGCTTAGGTGGACTTAGGTAAAAAGAGCTAAATTAATGGGTCATGATGAGGTTAGGATTAACACAAGCAAACAGAGCTGTATCTTCATTTGACAGCTTTGGAAGGAAAGTACACACACGTGCACATAAACACCTGCTCACACAGACATCAGGAGCTTTATGCTCATGTTTTCTGAGATTAAGTGAGAAACGCAAACATTGAATATGCCTTAAACACACTTTAAACAGCACTTTAAGAACTGTGTGTTTCCAAGCATTGGATGATGGCGAGGATTACTTTAACTGAATGTCTGTACAACTTATTTAGTAAGAGGATGTCCTTCTGTAATTACTTACAAATCCTCATACAGGAAATTAATACATTGCCTCAACCATCCATAGGAAAAATGAGAGCTTACCGGAGAGGGCTGAAATAAGGCAACCTTGGAATTAAACATTCGGATCTTGGACATAGGGTAGACTGTGTGCATCAAACGTTTTGTGCTAAGAGTTTCTGTTTCCTCATTACTGATTGAGTAATAAGCATGTGGGGTCAAAAATATCTTTAAGTAAATAAAGACTCATAGTACTGGCATTAAAAAATAGAGAGAGAAAATCTTGTATATGTTTTACACGCTTATATCCAAGACGTGGGCATGTGTAATGGCAACACTGCTAAACATGTGGATAAAGTATTTGAATATTTAAAGGTATAGGTGAGAATTTTCACAAATTTTTGAATAGTCCCTCCCTCTCCACTTTAAAAAGAAAATGCACATGCACAACCCTGTACTACTTCCAGAGAGGGAATGCCTAATAAACATGTGCGGGAGCATATACAA